CTAACTACTAACGAACTAACTAACTAACTACTAACTAACTAACTAACTAACTACTACTAACTAACTAACTACTAACTAACTAACTAACTAAACTAACTAACTAACTAACTAACTAACTAACTAACTAACTACTAACTAACGAACTAACTAACTAACTAACTAACTAACTAACTAACTAACTAACTAACTAACTAACTGACGACTAACTAACTAACTAACTAACTACTAACTAACTAACTAACTAACAAACTAACTACACTAACTAACTAACATAACTAACGAACTAACTAACTAACTGGAACTAACTCCTAACTAACTAACCTAACTAACTAACTAACTACGAACTACTAACTAACAACTAACTAACCTAACTAACTAACTACTAACAACTAACTAACTAACTAACTACTAACAACACGTTCCACCTCTGGCCGAGAAAACCTACAATTTCTATACGAACTGGACCCCGATTAAGACGACCGCGGATCCAGCTCGAGATTTTGGTTGTATTTGCAGATAAGCCTTAAAAAAAAGTATGAGACTCAACGGGTACGGAACTGCAACTTCCAAACGAAAGTCCGTGCTATCACATAACGTATGAAATGGATTGAATAGGGCGTGAATAGAGGTTCATATATTTTGACGATATAAGGTTAAATCTAGAATCGTATTTGGACTATAAGAAAGCCGAAATTTCTCAGTGATAAGCTCTACACTGGACTGGGGACAACAGGTTATGTAAGATCGAGTCTAATTCACATATTAGAAAGTTAGCTTAATAAAGTTAATCTGGCGAAGGCAAAAACATTGAAGGCTATTAAAAGCATGGTCGAGAGAATTCGATATGGTCACTATTAAAAGAGCAGCTTATTTCGGAGTCATGTAAGTATACATACACCTTATATATTAAGTCTTTTTTTCTGGCCGAAAAAATTCGAGGTATTCTTACATTAATGAATAATTTTCATTTAGGGTTTCTTTTGTAATCCAACTCCCTTTTAGAACTTAGTGCGGTGTAAACCGCCAATGTATTTGAATATTGTGTAAAATGCCTACATAATTAATTTAGTTGAATGCATTGTACTTATTCAATTTCAATCGTAAAAGTAATAATAGCTATTTAAAGTTGCATTGCAAATTCCTAAAAGCACCATCGAAAATACATACATATAGAGCAAACACAACTGAATACTTGAAAATCAATAATAATAGTGTGAAGAATTTTCCACAAAACTGTTGTTATCAGTGACAAACAATAGTTTGAAATCCTCTTATCAGTAATAATTTGTGCAGTAATGTCATCATTTTATAACATTACAATTACAAATACATACTATATATAAATATGTATGTATGTATGTATGTATAGAGGGAAGTGTTTCAGTGCCACCATTATTATCGTTATCATCATCATCTTCATTGTTGTTGTTAGTTGTAGATGTACAACATCAGTATCATCAACATCAACACCACCAATATCATCCATCGTCGTAACAACAGTCGCAGCAGCATCTCTATAAGTAACATGCCATGACAATGACATCAAAACTAAGAGTGTGTGTCTGTGCGTGCGTAGGAGTAGCAACCAGTGCCTCCACTAACCAACATTTATGTATTGTAATCCTCAAACCAACAAAATAGATGCTTATTACCAAAACGAACCACTAAATTCAAGCAGCCAAAGCATCCATTTATCAAACTGCTTTACGGTAGTTTTAAAGGTAAATATTAATAAATTTTGATTAATATGACAACCTCTTATATAGGTTGTATAGTTCCCATCACAAAGAGATGCAAAAATTACGGACATAAGAGTATTACAACTAAAGCCATTCTAGGACTAGTATACTGATAAGTAGATAAGATAGTTAAAATACTATTAATAGGTTGCTGGGACTTCGGACTTGCAGGATAATGTTAAAACCGTTGAGTATGCTATTGAATAAATGAATGTAGAACAGAGGAGCTCAATATTGCCATTACATAGCACGCGTGATAGGGTAAGAAAATTCTGCTGACGCTAAGTTGGTACACATACACTATAGGTTTAATTCTTCTTCTTTTTATAATGAGCAATATCAGTTGGTTTTCTCTCAACTTGAAAAACAAAATCAAATCAGTTGCTGATCAGCACTTGTCAAAGCGAGGTCTGTGCGCAACGTTTTTAAAATACACACAGAAATACAACAACAAAATTTTGAGAAAGTCGAATTAATGTAGGAGAACATGAGAGAACAGTTGACAGTTTTTTATATATAGACTTTGATATACGCTGACTGTCAAAATCCGTAATAAATATTTGACAGTTAGCATATACTTTATAGTTTGTAGTCATTTTATTCGTATACTTTTATTTTGAATTGAATTCTGTTCTCTGCTGCTTTACCAACACAAATAAAACTATGGTAATCTATGGTGGTATGTGTTTGAGCAACACTGATGTAGAAACATACGAACGAACGAAATGGATAGAACCCACAAACCTTTAATGGGAAAAACACAAACGTTTAACTTGTTTGTTTGAAGGCTCGTTTATTCGTTCGATTGAATCGCTGGAAGCCCTTATGGTGAACGTCTGTGTCTTTCTCAATATATATTTTTTTTAATGAAAGCAAGATGTAATCGTGAAGTAAAATTGTGTTAGTAGGTTAGCTACAACCCTTTTGGGATCATTGACAAGGGTTGCTCTATAGTTTCAGACTAGTCTATAGTCTCACTAAATTAGACAGATATATAGTCACTTTACATACATATATAGACTTTAGAATGGTATATGATTTTGCCTATACACTGGATTATATATAGTTTTGCCTATTGTCTATTCTAAGGTCTTCACTATAGTTTATTCTATAGTCTTGACTATAGTCTAGTATAATCTAGTCTATAGTTTTGACTATAGTCGTGACTATAATCTTTAATATATTCCAATTCATAATCTGAACTACAGTCTAGTCTATAGTCTTGACTATAATCTAATCTATAGTCTTGACTATAATCTAATCTATAGTCTTGACTATAATTTTGACTATAGTCTATTCTATAGTCTTGACTATAGCCTTGACTATAGTCTAGTCTACAGACAAATCTAAAGTTTAATCTATAGTCTAATCTTAACTATATTATAGTCAATAGCCTTGACTATAGTCTATTCAATAGTCTTGACTATAGTCTTGACTATAGTCTTGTCTACAGTATTAACTATATTATAGTTAATAGTCTTGACTATAGTATAGTTAATAGTCTTGACTATTGTATAGTTAATAGTCTTGACTATTGTATAGTCTGTAGTCTTGACTATATTATAGTCTATAATCTTGACTATATTATAGCTTGACTAGTATAGTCTATAGTTTAGTCTAAAGTATTGACTATAATCTGGTCTATAGTCTTGACTATATATATAGTATAGTCTATAGTCTTAACAATATTATAGTTAATAGTCTTGACTATAGTATAGTCTATAGTCTTGACTATAGTCTAGTCTATAGTCTTGACTATAGTCTTGTCTATAGTCTAACTTTAACTATATTATAGTCAATAGTCTTGACTATAGTCTAGTCTATAGTCTTAACAATATTATAGTTAATAGTCTTGACTATTGTATAGTATATAGTCTTGACTATAGTCTAGTCTTGACTACAGTCTAGTCTTGACTATAGTCTATAGTCTTGAATATAGTCTAGTCTTGACTATAGTCTTGACTATAGTCTAGTCTTGACTATAGTCTATAGTCTTGACTATAGTATAGTTAATAGTCTTGACTATTGTATAGTCTGTAGTCTTGACTATATTATAGTCTATAATCTTGACTAGTATAGTAGTATAGTCTATAGTCTAGTCTAAAGTATTGACTGTAATCTGGTCTATAGTCTTGACTATAGTCTAGTCTATAGTCTTAACAATATTATAGTTAATAGTCTTGACTATAGTATAGTCTGTAGTCTTAACAATATTATAGTTAATAGTCTTGACTATAGTATAGTCTATAGTCTTGACAATAGTCTGGTCTATAGTCTTGACTGTAGTCTAGTCTATAGTCTTGACTATAGTCTAGACTTGACTATAATCTTGTCTATACTCTAGCCTTAACTATATTATAGACAATAGTCTTGACTATAGTCTAGTCTATAGTCTTAACAATACTATAGTTAATAGTCTTGACTATAGTCTAGTCTATAGTCTTGACTATAGTATAGTCTATACTCTTGACTATAGTCTAGTCTATAGTATTGACTATAGTCTGGTCTATAGTCTTGACTATAGTCTAGTCTATAGTCTGGACTATAGTCTGGCCTATAGTCTGGACTATAGTCTGGCCTATAGTCTGGTCTATAGTCTGGTCTATAGTCTGGTCTATAGTATTGATTATAGTCTAGTCTATACTCTTGACTATAGTCTAGCCTATACTCTTGACTATAATCTGGTCTATAGACTAATCTAAAATCTAATCTATAGTCTAATCTTAACTTTATTATAGTCAATAGTCATGACTATAGTCTAGTTAATAGTCTTGACTATAGTCTAACTTAACTATTATCTGGCCTAGTATAGTCTATATTTGATTAAAATCTTGTCTTATCTATTGTATGGTCTAAAATCTAGACTATATTCTGATCTATATTCTCGACTATAGGCTCGGCCGTTGTCTGGTCGATAGTATCGACTAATATGGCCATAGTGTTGCCTGTAGTTTGTGGTATAGTCTAAACTATAAGCTGGTCTCGACCATGGACGGATGCATGGTCTTGACTTAGGTCTAGTCTGTTCTATAATTTTGGCTATCTCTTGGGTTATAACCCTTAATGTCGACTGATCTACAGTCTTAACTATAACACCTTGTTTAAATTCACATTATTTTATGTATGGTTGTTGCTGGAAAGGCAGCATTGCGAACTATGCCATTCTCTGCAATTTAGGGAATACAAAAGATGTAGTTTGTTTCAAAACAATATAAAAAATTTTGTTTAATGAAACATAAAATGATTACAATAAAATATTTCGAACAATGCAACACTTGCTTAAATATTGTTACTGATTTTTTTGTTAAAAAAACTACACATGTATTTGGATAAAAAGCAAGAACAATCAGTTATATCTCAACAATAAAATCCACAAATTTTAATTTTACTATAAATACTCAAAGTAGCTTGAATTTAAACAAAATTTCATGATAAAATGAAAATTTTAAATATATTAAGTTTGTTATTGGTGGCTCTAGAGTCGTACACCTCTGCTCAGGGATGTCGGGGTAGTCCACGTAAGTTTACTTTTCTATCCTATTGATTTTATGTTAAAGTATATTTAATTTTCTAGCTAATCCTTCCTGTTCTGGTCCCCGACATTCGGGATGGCTTGGTATACGTTGTTCCGGAGTTCGTAGTATGTGGCACTACAATGCTGTTGCCAGACGTTGTCAACCATTGCATTATTGGGGTTGTGGTGGCAACAATAATCGTTGGTGCAACCGGGCTGTCTGTGAACAAAGATGTCGTCGCTAAGCATCAATGATCGAATTGAATTCTTTTTAGCTAATTTTACAGAATTCATATTTCACCAGACCCTGTCTTCATTTAACATTTCATTTTCTTAATTTTTATAAAAATAACTAACAAAGAAAAATTAAATGTTAAAGATTTTTCAATTTAACGGTACAGAATGTGAAAAATTATAAAAAAACAAAACCTAGTCATTTAAATGTAGTTAGTGTGGGCTTTAAAGTCATCGTCATGCGAAAAAACTGTCATCAGTGAAAAACGCGAAAACAAAACGAAAACTGAATGAGAAAAAAACCAAAATAAAAATGTATAATGGAAGGAGTATTTGATGAAAATTGATATCTACATATGACACACAGACACATAATCTGGCAAAAAAAGTAAAAAAAAAGGAATCTTTACCCAAAAAATCAAGCACTGTGTGGGTAAACTGGGTGTTATAGTAACAAGTATCAATTGTACCAACTATCAAGCCGTTAGTTTGGTTTAACCCCTGCATTTTTATAATAACAATACACATTTACAAAAATATGGGTCATAGATTCATAAAAGTAATAGATATGTATGTAGCCATAAAGACTAGGACAAATAACCTGCAAATAAGGGTTTTTCATTTCAAGAAGTTTTTCATATATGTTCACGGATATATCTTTTAAATTCACAAGAGTTTTAATAGTATAAAATGAACCAGTCTATAGAATAATTTAATGAAATAGTCTTGAATATAGACCGATTTTTAGCCTTCACTATAGACTGATCTACTGTCTTGACTATAGACTGATCTATAATCTTAAGACTATAGACTGATAGATAGTCTTGAGATTATAGACTGATCTACAGTCTTGAGACCATAGACTGATCTATAGTCTTAAGATTATAGACCGATCTATAGTCTTGAGACTATACACTGATCTATAATCTTGAGACTATACACTCACTGATCTATAGTCTTGACTATAGACTGATCTATAGTCTTGACTGTAGACTGATCTATAGCCTTGACTATAGACTGATCTATAGCCTTGACTATAGACTGATCTATAGCCTCGCCCATAGACTGATCTATAGCCTTGACTATAGACTGTTCTATAGCCTTGACTATAGACTGATCTATAATCTTGACTGTAGATTGATCTATAGTCTTGACTTTAGATTGATATATAATCTTGACTATAGACTGACCTATAGTCTTGACTGTAGATTGATTATAGTCTTGACTATAGACTAATCTATAGTCTCGACTATAGACTGATCTATAGCCTTGGCCATAGACTGATCTATAGCCTTGCCCATAGACTGATCTATAATCTTGACTATAGACTGATCTATAGCCTTGACTATAGACTGATCTATAATCTTGACTATAGACTGACCTATAGTCTTGACTGTAGATTGATTATAGTCTTGACTATAGACTAATCTATAGTCTCGACTATAGACTGATCTATAGCCTTGACTATAGACTGATCTATAATCTTGACTGTAGATTGATCTATAGTCTTGACTTTAGATTGATATATAAACTTGACTATAGACTGACCTATAGTCTTGACTGTAGATTGATTATAGTCTTGACCATAGACTGATCTATAGCCTTGACTATAGACTGATCTATAGCCTTGGCCATAGACTGATCTATAGCCTTGCCCATAGACTGATCTATAATCTTGACTATAGACTGATCTATAGCCTTGACTATAGACTGATCTATAATCTTGACTATAGACTGACCTATAGTCTTGACTGTAGATTGATTATAGTCTTGACTATAGACTAATCTATAGTCTCGACTATAGACTTCTCTATAGTCTCGACTATTGACTGATCTATAGTCTCGACTAAAGACTGATCTATAATCTTGACTATAGACTGATCTTTAGTCTTGACTGTAGACTGATCTATAGTCCTGACTGTAGACTGATCTATAGCCTTGACTATAGACTGATCTATAGCCTTGGCCATAGACTGATCTATAGCCTTGCCCATAGGCTGATCTATAGCCTTGACTATAGACTGATCTATAGCCTTGACTATAGACTGATCTATAGCCTTGACTATAGACTGATCTATAATCTTGACTGTAGATTGATCTATAGTCTTGACTTTAGATTGATATATAGTCTTGACTGTAGATTGATTATAGTCTTGACTATAGACTAACCTATAGTCTCGACTATAGACTGATCTACAGTCTCGACTATAGACTTCTCTATAGTCTCGACTATTGACTGATCTATAGTCTCGACTATAGACTGATCTATAGTCTTGACTACATTATGATATATATTCTCAACTACAGACTAATCTATAGTCTCGACTGGTCTATAGTCTTGGCTACAGACTTGTCTATAATCTTTAATATATACTGATCTATGGTCTTGACTATAATCTGATACATTATATGTCCCATAGCCTTGACTACAGACTGATCTAAAGACATTAATACAGACTGATCTATAGTCTTGGTCCAAGACTGATCTATAGTTATGACTATTGTAGTCTGTCCTATAGTTTTGGTTATAGTCTTTATACATGAACATAAACTTGATAATTTTTCCCAATTTTTTAATGTCTCAAATCTATCTATTGGCCTCCAAGTCGTTTAAACCTCTCGATAAACCAAAGTCGTTTAAACCTCTCGATAAACCAAAACAATTGCTTGATTTCCCAAGAAATTTGTCCTGTTTGTAAAACCCTACATGTAATACAACTAACGCTCATTGAGTTTTAAATATATATTTATTTCCACCACCATGACCAATCGACCAACAATACAACCAATTAAGCCAAGTATGAGTTTGGTAAAAATACTCATTTTATATTAATAGAAAAAAAAACCTTTATGACAGGAAACAAACACAGCGACTGCCGCAGAAATTATCAATAAAGGGCAGGAATTGTCATTGTCATGATAACGCGTTGTCAAATTAATGAAGTAACTGATAAGCTTAACGACAGTAGTTGAATTTGAAATTATGAAGTTTAACGGTTGGAAATGATTATAGAGGACTGACAGCGATTGATACTATTAGTGTTGCGCTACATAAGGTAAGTGGAAAATATAGTTTCATAACTAAGTAATGTTGCCGAAGGGTAGTCATTTAAGAACCACTTCCATGTAAACAATATGATAGGTTGTCATGTACAAGAAACTGTTTATATAATAGTAATGCATTACCAAGTTGTTTCCGATAAAGTGCTTCTAATTCGTTTACCACCTAAGCCATTACCTCTACTTAGGTCTGAAGTGTTTGTATGTGTGAAAATATCTCACCCTTCAATAGAAGGGTGTTTAATTTTAATCTTTTGTTATTTGGTGGTTTCAATTGTTGTTCGAATTAATGATTATCACAAGATACCTGGCCGGGGTTCACAAAAATTGAATGTTTCAAATGTTTACAAAATCTATATTTATTTGTTAAGTCTAGGATTGACATTGTTATGTTTAAAATATTTGTTAAGGTTAAATGAATAGACAATTTTAAACTTACTATTTATGTGATAATTAAAATTCAAATGATGTTTTTATGTTTAACCTTTCCTTTCTATTGAAATTTGATAATTTTCTTTGAAATTGTTATTCTTGTATCAAATACTTCAAAGTGGGAATATTTTTAAAGGTTAAGAATTCTTAATAAAAATGTAATTGATGTTCAATTGTAGACTTAACGAAAATTTAATTCCTTTTTTGTAATAATGAAGGATTATTTGTTCTTGGGGTTGAAAGTAAATCATTGTTTTCGATTGTTGTTAAGACCATTAGGTAAGACTTAACTATACTTATTAACATAAAAGTTGGGTTAGTCTTAAAAAATTAATGTTTTAATATAGAATATGTAAATGATTTATTTAAATAGAAATAATTTCAAAAACAAATATTTACAAGTCTTTTGTGCATCTTCAGGTGTCCTTTGGTCGGACTCTTTCTCTTAGTCCAGTCTATAGTCTAGTCTATAGACCGGTCTATGGTCTGGTCTATAGTCTAGTCCATGGTCTAGTCTATGGTCTAGTCTATGGTCTAGTCTATAGTCTAGTCTATAGTCTAGTCTATAGTCTAGTCTATAGTCTAGTCTATAGTCTAGTCTATAGTCTAGTCTATAGTCTAGTCTATAGTCTAGTCTATAGTCTAGTCTATAGTCTATAGTCTAGTCTATAGTCTAGTCTATAGTCTAGTCTATAGTCTAGTCTATAGTCTAGTCTATAGTCTAGTCTATAGTCTAGTCTATAGTCTAGTCTATAGTCTAGTCTATAGTCTAGTCTATAGTCTAGTCTATAGTCTAGTCTATAGTCTAGTCTATAGTCTAGTCTATAGTCTAGTCTATAGTCTAGTCTATAGTCTAGTCTATAGTCTAGTCTATAGTCTAGTCTATAGTCTAGTCTAGTCTAGTCTAGTCTATAGTCTAGTCTAGTCTAGTCTAGTCTAGTCTAGTCTAGTCTAGTCTAGTCTATAGTCTAGTCTAGTCTAGTCTATAGTCTAGTCTATAGTCTAGTCTATAGTCTAGTCTATAGTCTAGTCTATAGTCTAGTCTATAGTCTAGTCTATAGTCTAGTCTATAGTCTAGTCTATAGTCTAGTCTAGTCTAGTCTATAGTCTAGTCTATAGTCTAGTCTATAGTCTAGTCTATAGTCTAGTCTATAGTCTAGTCTATAGTCTAGTCTATAGTCTAGTCTATAGTCTAGTCTAGTCTAGTCTATTCTCTAGTCTAGTCTATAGTCTAGTCTATAGTCTAGTCTATAGTCTAGTCTATAGTCTAGTCTATAGTCTAGTCCAGACGTCGGCGCTAGTATTGTTCTGACAACGAAGATTTTCGGCAAATTACATGTACACAACACGATCGCATACGAACCTCTAAACAAGAGCATCAAAAATACAAATATTTTATTTAGTTGCTTGACAGCATTCAACAAAGCAGGTTGATGTCGCTTTGTTAAAGAAATTGCAAACACAACTTGAAAAAACAAAAACAACTTGCAAAAGCAAGAGCATAATTTACAAAAACAACGTACACCCTAAATAATTTTCTAGAATGCATAA